GGGACCTAGGTTGGGAAAGTATCCGTGTGACAGTCCTGCATGGGAGGAAGCAAGGCCGAGGCGGCAAAGCCGACAGCCGAGTCCGGGCCTGCACATGCGTCCAGAGGCTGCAGCAGACTGGAGCAGCCCACTTCCCTCTGAGTGCTGGTGCTGCTCCACCCACAGCGTTGTACTGTCAGCTGTTGGTGGCTGCAAGGCGAGACGCGCTGCCATTTATTCACGAAGAGTTGCAATTTTAGAGGAAGCAGGGGACAGCTGGTGTGGATTGCATCTTCATTTCAAAAAAAAAAAAAACGACTCAAAAAGTTAAAGCGAATTTCCTAAAATCTGTCAGCTAATTAAGATTTGAAAACAGAGGTTTTCTGATTCTTAGATTTGGCCCTACCACCAAACAATAAGATGCAAACAAAATAAAGTAAAAATAACACATTATGAAGCAACATTTGATTACGAGGCTATTATTGATGGATTCTTTTCACGAAAAATAATTGCTTCGGGATGGTGCCCTTGTAGTCCGACTGATAGCCTCATTTCAGTGGGAGACACACTGCGAAGGAAAGAGAAAAAATGTGCATGTGAATTCTGGAGGCTCTTAGTTCTATGGTCTGACTATACATCTGCATGCCGGCGTTGCTCCTGACCAGCTGGAGGGCAGAGGGAAGGGGGCCGAGGGTGCCAGGGTCTCTCCCTCGTGCACATGTACACATACCCTGTCATGAGAGAAGTAAAATGACTGTTTAAAAAAATAATAAGTGTGATGTGAATAATAAAAACTAGGGTTAGCTTGGCGGTACACAGCGGTAATGTGCTGCTTGCTCAGGAGAAACCAGATCTCACATGGTGACCACGGTTCAAATCCCCAGCCTGGTCAGCCTGGTCAAACATACTGGACACATGCACAAGTGCCCGGGCTCTGCCAGGAGGGGGATACGGTGCAACCAGACTCATGGAGGGTGCCTCTCTCTCCCTCTCTCTCCCTCTCTCTTTCTCTCTCTCCCTCTCTCTCTCTCATGTGCACATATACAGGCGCTATCATGAATAAGAGAAAAAAAATCCTAACATTTATTGTCAACCATATGCCAAACACTTCACTTTCTTTATCTTACTTAATGCTTCCAGCCACACTACACTACGAGGTAGATAGTCTCCTCCCCTCTTCATTAAAAAAAAAAAAAAAAGAAAGTGAGGTAGAGGTAGATAGTCTCCTCCCCTCTTCATTTAAAAAAAAAAAAAAAAAAAGAAAAAAAACTTTCGGAAGGTAAGTAACCTGGCAAGGTCCACGTGGCACTTCCAGGACGACAGGTAAGGAGCTCCCTAGACTCTCCTCGGGGAAATCCCCAGAACGGATGGGAGTGGTGGTGCACGCTCCACGGACGCTGTGCTCCACAGCCAGGGGCCACACAGGAGGTCCAGGTTCAATTCCCAGCCCAAGGTGGAGGGAGTTGAATCGAACGTTCCATCCACATGTGATATTTGCGTCTTTTGCACAAATGGATCGCAACAACAAAATCCTTCAAGACGGAAGATTCAGGTGTGCTGTGGAGTTTTTCAAAACTGTGGTTTTAGATGTATTTATGGGGTTCGTCCTTGGACGTTTTGTTTTTAAATAAGGCTCAGTAAAGTTTCTAGAGAGCTGGAACTTCTATGAGTCACTGCTCACGGGGTTCAGTCGCCCTGAAGTTCCTTACCATGCCTGTTACCGCCGCCGCCTCCTCATTTATAGACACTACGACGTAGATTTCCAGGACAGGCCTGGACCATGGTCCAGCGTAATTATTAACACCGGCTCTTCATTCTCGAAAGTGCGCTGCTGTGGGTGGTAGTCGCCACCAATCACCTTGATTGCTCGTCATTGAACTTGCTGAGGGTGTCGTTCCACAGGTGTCCACTAGGTGGCAGTAGTGTAACCTCCAGAGAGCACTTAGATGAAGTATTTCATGACAAAAGTCAAATCAGAGCAAATAATTAAGAGCTACCTGCAGCTTTGGCCATTTAAAACAAGTGAGAGAGCAGGGGGAGGAGGGACAGAACAGGTGCAGGGCAGGTTGCTCCTTCCTGGGATCTAATAAGGAAGGAAAGACCCCTTTGCTCATTGGAGGACTCCAATGGTGAACACTGCAGTGTTTTTGTTTTGTTTTGTTTTGCTTTTTAAATTGTCATTCACAAAGACGAAAGCAGTATGCAGTGAAGTGAGGAAACAGCTCTGAAGGGAGAGGTGTTCACTTCGCGTCATAAATCGCTTCTCAGGTCGTGGTTGGATGGAGGTCCTACAGGTAGCTCTCCAGGGTTTACCAAGTCTGTCGAAGGACTGTGTTTGAGCCGGAAGCTGAGTTGCCTGAACTCGAATGACTTAAAGAAGATTAGGAAACATCTCCAGCCAGAACTCAGTTATATACGTGGACACTTCTTGGAATGCCCCGTGAACTGTATGTATGTTACCTATGACAAAGTGGGTGCAGCGGCTCTCTGGGAGTCCTCCCCACTGCAGGTGCGTGGCACACCTGCACAGAGGGTGAAGGTAGAGGAAGCCCATGAGCATGGGTTTCCAGATGTTTGTGTCTCTCGGTCCTTGGAGTTGGTGGCTACTGCTAGTGGCCCTCCAGTGTTCTGAAGCATCTTCTGATGTGAATGAATGGGCAAATTCCACCGCCCAGCATGTGCCTAGGGCTTGGTTTGCTGCTGCCAGCTCAGAGCCAGAAGAGAGAATATCTGTTTTTGAACTGGATTATGATTATGTGCAAATTCCCTATGAGGTTACTCTCTGGATACTTCTAGCATCTCTTGCAAAAATAGGTAAGTCCCGGAACACTTGGTTGTAAGAGCTGTTTTTTGCATGAGCTATATGTATAAAAATACCTTACAGATGCTGGGCTAAGTCTATTTTAACTGTTACTACCGTGACATAAAAAATGTGACAGTCGAAATGCCCTTTTGCAAAGCTAGTTCATGATTCAGGATCAAGCTTTGAAGTTGAAGAGCAACCTCTGGGTCAGGGTGGTTGGACTTCTCCTCATTTCAGCATAACAGCCGTATGACATTAGTTGATACGTAGCACTCGCAAGTTCTATGCTTTGAAATATATATGAAGAAGGAAGCATGTAGACCTCAGAGTAAAACCGGTTGGAAATGTTAGGAACCACATGCTGTTTCTTTTGTAAAATATGCCTCCTGCCTTTCTGCCCCATGGTCCGTGGTCCCACTGTTTATTCTTTAAAAGTGGCATGTGCTCCTTGTGACTTGAAAGCAAGGAGCAGGACAGCCACAGGCTTCTCGTCTGTCACTCAGAGCAGGGACGTGGGGCAGGCACGTGAGGTGATATCGGTGGGTAAAATACTGGTTTACACCGAAGCCAAAGACGGCCAGCGGGGCCGCTGGTTTCTTATGTGAAATAAAGTGAATGAAAGTGACTTCGCTCTTACCTGACGAAGAGATTAAATTCCATCAAAGATTCTTTGTGCCAAGAGCCAAAGTAGTGGTTTATGCTCTGTGACTATCTCATCTTACTGCACCCCGTGGATCCTTAAAAGCAGCTCATTCTGGAGTTGAAAATGGATACAATTACCTCAGTTAAGGAGCATAATGTCACCTTCGCCCAGCTATAAACATGCTTGCTGAGTATGTAGATTGCTTTATTGAGATAGACGCTATGAAACAGTCTGAAATAAATACTTGTGTGTGTGTATATATATATGTGTGTGTGTGTGTGTGTAAGGGTTTTTTATGTATAAATAATACAGATTTTTGTTTTGTTTGTTTTTCTTTTTCTTTTCCCTCCCTCCAGGATGGGCGTAAAATACGGGTTGAGCGAGGAGGGTTAGCAGTTAACGTCCTCGGGCTATCTATTGGCCCAATGCCCTCCCATGGGTGCTGTGCACTGTGTATTCATTAGGTGCTCCTTTGGAATTGCTATTCATTCTGGGCTAGTAAACTGTGAGACTGAGACTTGTTCATTTAAGGAGTCTTGTGCAATTTGTTAAGTTAGTTTACACAGAGGGTATCCCGGACCCGGTGGCTTAAAACTCACTCTGGATGCATGTGTGTGCATGACCAGGATCCCAAAAGGAGAACTGAGGAGAAGGGATTGTAGCATGGCCATCCCCCTTGGGGGGTGATTTCTTGCTTTCTGTCTCTTTGTCTTTCTCTGTCTGTCTGGCGAGCGCATGCGCCCTATAGCAAAAACCTCTCCAAAAAAGAAAGAAAGAAAGAAAGAAAGAAAGAAAGAAAGAAAGAAAGAAAGAAAGAAAGAAAGAAAGAAAGAAAGAAAGAAAAAAAGAAAGAAAGAAAGGAAGGAAGAAAGAAAGAGAGTCACATCAAAATGACTTTGCAAGTGGATACCAGCCTCTGTTCAGAGCACAGGGTCTAACATCTTTCACCTGGACACTGATAATGGTCAACGATTTGAGTTTTCCTTTGCAAATCATGCTAGATTCTATGTCCCCTCTCCCTCCTGCCCACCTCCCAACACACACACGCCCTCGCTTCCTCTTTGCAGTGATGACTGACGTCGGAATGGGATCAGGAGACTAGACCGTCACTGACTGTGTAGTCACTCTGTCTCTCAGTCAACGTCTAAATGCAGAAAGGGTGCATTTCACCTTGGTTTTATATTACTACAAACAATACCGTGTTCTTTAAAGGTACTGTGTGTGCCCAGACTCGCTTTGCTTAGAAATATCTATAAGTATACTCTTATTCATAAGCTATTGGCTTAACTGTTCTTGATCTTCTCTCTCTCTCTTTTTGAAATTTTGCTATAGGTGTGTGCACTTGCTGGAGAGACAGAAAGAAAGAGAGAAAAAGAGACAGAGAAAGCGAGAAATCGTCCCCCGGGGAATATGGACACACCATAATCCCTTCTCCATTCTCCTCTAAGATCTGGGCACAGCATGTACGCCTGGTGTGTCTTTCAGGGCTCCAGGTGCTCAGGGGGCCGTGCGGGATCCAGCCGTCTTAACTACTACGCCACTGGCTGGCCCAAATGCTCTTGATTCTATGTCGATTTGACATAGTTCAGGAAAAGAAAACACTTTAGGTAGGCTACAGCTGCCTATTCAAGTACAAGTTTATATTTGCTAGTCTTCAAGAATTTAGATTATTTTGGGACCAGCAGTTGGAGTAATGGCTCTGTCACTGGACTCCCATGTAGTCGACAGAGGTTCAAGTCCTGTACCTGGTGGCTTAAACTCACGCCAGGCACATGTGCGTGTGTGCCCAAGATCCTGAGAAGAGAATGGGGGAGAAGGGATTGCGGCATGGCCATCCTCCCTGGGGGGTGATTTCTCTCTTTCTGTCTCTCTGTCTCTCTTTGTCTTTCTGGAGAGCACACGCTCCCTATAGCACAAACCTCTCCCCCCAAAAAAGAGAATTCAGATTATTTCTACATTTCGTAAGGATATGGGGGACAGGAGAAAAAAGACCAGTTACTTCCCATCCTGGAGGAAGGAATATGTATGTATGTATATATATATATATATACATACATATATCAGAATGTTTCATAGATTCTGTTTCAACAGGGCAATAAACACGCACACACACACACGCACACACACACACTCACTGCTAAGCCCTGGGCTGGGAGTTATATATGATGATTCCTTTACCAGGAGCAAAGTAATGATGATGATGTAGGAAACTTTAACGTCACACGCACACACACACACACACACACGCACATGTGCACACATCACAATGTTTCATAGATTCTATCTCTATGAAGAAAATTAATATGAGGTTTTAAAGGCTATATTATAAAACCTGAGTCGGAATATACTTAATAATCATTATTATCATCATTTATCCTTTTATTTGGTCATTCTATCAAGGCACATCTGTTAACGACTTAGGCAGTCTGTGCTGATGACCAGGGCACTAGTTCAGGGGGGAAGACGGTGATCTTAGTAAGGTTCTAGCAGGAAACATCGGAACTCCCCCAGTCCTTTCTAAGACACCGGACCATGCATTTACAAATAAATGTATTACAGGATGACGAGAATTTTTAAAAGTCACCTTGAACTCCATAGTGTGTCTTTATTTCAATTGCACTTCTTGGAACATCACAGAATGTTCTCAAACCTTTGGGGAGGAGGGACTTAATGTAAGGCCCACTTTGACTTTCAATCAGAACTTCCAGATTCAGGCACTGGAGCTAAAACCTCACAGTGACGACTCTACTGTTTTGGGTTTGTTTGTTTGTTTGTTTGTTTTGTTTTGTTTTGTTTTCTGAGAGGTTTTTGCTATAGGGCGCGTGTGCTCGCCAGAAAGACAGAGAGAGACAGAGAGACAGAAAGCGAGAAATCACCCCCCAGGGGGGATGGCCATGCCGCAATCTCTTTTCCTCCATTCTCCTCTCGGGATCTTGGGCACGCACGCACATGCACCCGGCATGAGTTTTAAGCTACTGGGTCTGGGACTCGAACCATGGTTGACTACATGGGAGTTCAGAGACATAGCCATTATGCTAACTGCTGGTAAGGGGAAAAGGTTTAAAAAGGAAATTCCTGTAGCATTTCCCTGCAGCCTCTTCCTGCTATCACATAAGCAGCTTGGCTTGAGGCAGGCGAATGCGCAATCCACTTCAGGAAGCTCAGTTCCCGGAAGCAGGTAGGGCCAGTCCAAGGAACAACAGGGCCTGGGAAAACCACCGCGGGCTCTTCCGCCTCCTTTACATGTTAGGGAAAAGTTAAGCTGGTTAAAGTAAGCACTAAGGAAGGAGGAGGAGGGGGATGAGGAGGAGGAGGAGAAAGAGAGGAGAGAAAGTGATCGTTTTTAGGAAATGGAGACTCCAGGACTCTGGCGGGGGGGGAAAAAAAAAGCCGGCTGCGTGGGGTGGGGGGGGGGGTGTCTTAAACCGGGTTTGAAGCCGGTGGTTCAGACTGGGGGTGGGGAGAGTTATACTCTAGATATTAACCTAGCCGCTCAGTGTGAACGGACAGGTTCAAGGCTGTGGGCAGGAGAACCCATACCCTCTTTGGATGGCTGAACCCAAACATTCACCATAAGACCTTCACTGGCTCTTCCTGGCCTGTGGGAGAAAGTTCACCTTCCTTACCTTTGAACTCAAGGCCTTCCATTATTAAACTCAAAATCACCTTTCAGCTCTTGTGCCAATATTCTTCCCAGTTCAAAGTTGGCTCTACGCAAGAGGATCTCCTCAATAAATGTCGGAAATATGTGGTTGGGCTACCTCTGCCTCACCCTACTGTCTTTCTTTTTGCACTTGAAGATCTCCCCTCAGAAACGCCTCCCATTCTCTCTTTATTCTTTTTATTATTATTTATATGTCCAATCCCTATATATTATTTAGCTTGCAAAGAGAATTCACCTAGCATGGTATACACCTCAGAGCAGTCCAGTTGAAAATACTATACACGTCATCCTCAACAGGTAATAAACCACAGCTGTGTCCCACAAATGTCTTACCTCTATTTCTTCCCCATATTTCCTTCTCTGCACTCTTCCCCTCTCCCACTCCCCTCCCACTTAGTCCCCAGTGTCCATAACTATTTCCAATGCATTCATGTCCTCCGGTCTTCCATCCTCTTTTACAGCTGCTGAAATCCTAGGCGTTCTCCAGCAAACTTGTCGGATTCTATCCAAGGACAAGCTCCTCTGACAAACATTTAACCTGTTGCTCACTCATCTACACACTCGCAGATTGTTTCAGAACACAGACCAGTTGCTCTGCAACAGAAAGCTTGCTAAGCACTTTGGGGAGATACGAAGCTGTACATCACTGGGGCCAGAGGGTGGGTCCACAGTGAAATGTGACACTCTGCAAGGCAATGCTTCCCTTCCACATAGCAGGACTCCGAGCTCACATCTGGAGACCTCCCTAAGTACCCCAGGCTCACATGTGCCCATGCTCTGGGGCTGGCTGAGGGCCGGGGTGGACAGGGATTGGGACTCTGTGTGCTGTTTCTTTCTCTCTCTGTCTCTTTTGCTAATGGAAGGCATAAACTTTTTTAAAAAGATGTAAATTATTCTGCTTAAATTGGGGAGTTTAGAGATTCGTCGGGGAGATAATGCACACAACTTGGAAGATATACCTGTACTGGACAGGTACAGAAAATTCAGAGGAAGATATATTATTTCCTTGGAGGAAGATGGGAAAAGCTTAGTCTGAAAGACTGAGCAGGACCAAAACAGACCCAGGAAGAGGACAGTGCAGGCCGTGGTAATAGAATAAGGACGAAAGGATCCCGCAGAGTGAGAAGGGACCAGCTGGCCACCATGTGTGTTGTATAGACCGAGTGGGAAAGCAAACTGAGTGGGAGGGAGCATACACTTACATGTCATGGTCTTTTGCTCTTCTAATTTGGTCATCTCTCGCTTCTAAAACTCTGTCAACAGTGGGAGTGGGAGGGCAACTCTCACCTGGTTTCCACCTCGTAGAACTTCACAGTAGGTTGGACCTTACCCCGGGCTCAACAAATATCCTCGGGTTAAAAATCCATGAGACGCCTCATGTGCCTTCAGCGTCTAAGTTGGGGAATGAGACAATCCGACAGGCATGGTGTAGAAAACTCTTCGGACAGTTGAGTGTGGGATGGTCTGGGGCCCTGCCAGTGAGACGGGAGAGTAATAACTAGGATGGAGACTGAGGTGACCCTAATCAAAGGCAGAGGCTGTGGAAATGGAGGGGGGGGGTCTGTAGGGCCAGCTGAAGCGTGGTGACTGAAGAAACATGGAACTGATGGCATGAACGGTAAGGACGATGGAGGGCAGTTCATGAGAACATGACTCGATGTCCTCGTTTGATAGTGACCGGATGGCAGTGCCATTGGTTACATAAGGCCAACAAAATAAGGCTTCGTTTTTGTGTACCTATTTGTTGAGGGCAGGAATGAGGTGATGTAGGTTTGACTCAGGACGAGGTTGAGGCAGCGATAGACTGCATGAGGGTTTTTGTTGTTTTTTAATTTTTTTTTCCTTTTTTTGGAGAGGTTTTTACTATAGGGCAGGTGCACTTGCCAGACAGAGACAGAGAGATAGAACGCGAGAAATCACCCCCTGGGGGGATGGTCACGCCGCAATCCCTTCTCCTCCATTCTTCTCGTGGGATCTTGGGCACGCACACACACGCGCCTGGCGTGAGTTTAGTTTAAGCCACCGGGTCCGGGACTCAAACCCCGGTCGACTACGTGGTAGTCCAGTGACATAGCCATTACACTAACTGCTGGTCCCTAATGTTTTTTAATGTAAAATTATTTAGTTATCCCATTAGAGAGGAGGAAAGAAAAAGGGAGAGGGAGGACCCCACAGGGTCCTCACGTTGAGCTACACTCCCAGCCTCACCCACCTGGGTCATGGCTGCTGGCCCCTGGGCCCACACACAGAGGAGGTTTCAGGACACCCCGGGACGTTTTCACGCGTCCAGGGCTTTTACCTGCACCACCATCTGGCCCCTCGCCTGTCTCATAGCTTGAGTCCTTTAGGCCATGAGCCCTAAAGCTGGGCTTGCCTGAGTGCAAAGGCTTCCTCCCTCTCCTTTCCCTCTCAGGTGGCCTGGAACCCCTGCAGGTGCGGAAAGCAGGTGGTTGGCCGGTGCCGCCCCCTGGCGGAGCACCACGGTCCTGTAGCGTGCACCGAGGCGGTGCTTGCGCGTTAGGTCCCGGCTGTCACTTTTGGCTGGCACACTTCCAGCTCCTGCTACAAACAGGAGCCGAGGCCTGGTGCCAGGCAGCTGGCCAGGGTCCCATCTGCTGGGCTTCCAAAGGCCTCCAGCAGGCACGCTGCGTGGGTCCTCTGCCAGCGTCCACATGTGTTCTCTGCCCTCCCCAGGCTTCCACCTCTACCCCAGACTGCCAGGCCTCATGCCCGAGAGCTGCCTGCTCATCCTGGTCGGGGCCCTGGTAGGCGGCGTCATCTTCGGCACCGACCACAAGTCGCCCCCCGTCATGGACTCCAGCATCTACTTCCTGTACCTCCTGCCGCCCATCGTGCTGGAGGGCGGCTACTTCATGCCCACGCGGCCCTTCTTCGAGAACATCGGCTCCATCCTGTGGTGGGCAGTGCTGGGCGCTCTGGTGAACGCCTTCGGCATCGGCCTGTCGCTCTACCTGGTGTGCCAGGTGGAGGCCTTCGGCCTGAGCGACCTCAGCCTGCTGCACAGCCTGCTGTTCGGGAGCCTCATCTCGGCGGTGGACCCGGTGGCCGTGCTGGCCGTGTTCGAGGAGGCGCGCGTCAACGAGCAGCTCTACATGATGATCTTCGGGGAGGCGCTGCTCAACGACGGCATCAGCGTGGTGAGGCCCGGCCCAGGCTGCGCGTGGCGCAGGCCCGTCTGGTACTGGGCCAAAGCCTGGGGAGGCGGGGAGTGCGGGGACGGGCTTTCCTCAGGGGCCCCTGCGTGGCAATCGCGGGCCCACTGGCATCTTGGAAGGGAGGAAACGAGGAGAGAGCTTAAATTCTTCAGTTCAATTTAGTTTTTAATTTTTTTTTGGAGATGTTTTTGCTCTAGGGTGCATGCGCTCGCCAGACAGAAAGACAGAAAGCGAGAAATCACCCCCCAAGAGGGGATGGCCACTCCGCAATCCCTTCTCCTCCATTCTCCTCCCGGGATCTTGGGCAGGCACGTGTCCGGAGTGAGTTTAAGCCACTGGGTCCGGGACTCAAACCACAGTCGACTACGTGGGAGTCCAGCGACATAGCCATTATGCTAACTGCTGGTCCCCATAGTTTTTAAATTTTTTAAAGAATTATTTTATTTTGTTTGCTTTTATTATTTTTTAATCTGACCAGAGAGACAGAGAGAGGGAGAAAGCAAGTGGCAAGGTCTGAGACTCGAACCAGGAACAGGAACCATTGCTAAAGGCTTGTCTGGGTGTTCGCACTAGCAACAGCAGGGGCTTGGGTTTTTATTTTCTCTCAAGCACCAGAGCTCATCCCACGGACAAGCTGCAGTCCTTTTCCCTCCATTTCCTATCCTGTTAGGACTGGGGGCACACCCGCGCACACCTGCGGTTTTTCAGTGGACAGGGCCGGGATTGGAACTGAGGTCAGCCAGGTGGGATCCAACCGCTGATGCACAGCACTTTACCACTGCGCTATGGGGCCAAACATTTCTCTTCTTAACTTTTTCTTTTTTGGATAAAGACAGGGGTAGTAGGAGAGGTGACAAAAGAGTTGCAAAAATGTGTTAGAGTGTATGTCACATCAGTGAATGACTCTGTGAATGAGGTACTTTTGTTTTGGAGTCCTGGAGGGAAGCCGAGGACTTATGGGCTCCTGAAACCCCTGGCATGGAGGCCCAGGAGAGGTCTGAGGGCTCGGGTGCTCAGACAGTCGGGGTTGCTGGTCTCCCTGCTCAGTTTCACTAATAGCTGCAAATTCTCACCACTCGTTAGTGTACAAGAGTTTTTCGTGTACTTTTATATGCTTTTCCGTATATAGCATCACGTAATTATTACTAGTATGAAATTTTACTGTAAATGGCTCAAACAGTATAAAATTATACAGTGTAAAGCATAAAAGCGACCTCATCCTCTATGCAAGAGGCAACCACTATGATCCATATGGCATTTTCTCTCCCAGTCTTTATTAAATGCAGACACACACACACACATATATACAGGGTTGTCGGAAAAGTCGGGATGCATTTTTGCAGAGAAAATCATAGAAAAAAATAAGTCATGACTTCCAGCAATACAATCTGTAGATGCTTATTTTCGTCGTAAATTGGGCAGGAGTGCATGATACGTGTTGGTTAGGGTAACAAATCTATTCTTTCTACACCTCTTCAGCTGTCACACAGTGTTTCCTAGATCAGTCGTTGTCATTTATTTCGTCGCTTCCTGATGACGGTCCTTCAGGTTATTTCCAGTTTTGCACTCGCACAGTGCTGCAGTGAAGCTCCTTGTTGGTGCACGCATCTTCTGTGTGTGCGTGTATGAGTGCGTGAGAGGGAGGGAGAGCATTCACTTAGTAGATATCTTAGAAGGGATAGTTCCAGGTTAAACATACAGAGGCTGGAAAATGTGAAGGTCCTGCTGTTTTCAGCATGTCACCAAAGCGGTTTTCATTGGTGAATGAGAGACACTCACCCTCAGTGATGGGACTGACTGGATACCCAGCACCCAGTGCTGGATAGTCAGAAGAGACAGCAGTTTCTAAGTCAGGTTTCCCACAGTGCTGAGGAGGAGGATGCCACACACCGTGCAGGGCCTCCCAGGGCTGCACTTGGGGACAGAGTGGACGACCCTGGGCCTGTGAGGGGCAGGTTTTGGAGTGAGGAGAGGGTGGGAAGGAGCTGGGGGCACTGCTGTTTCTCACAGGAGTATGTGAGATTGGCTTGTTTGAATATTTCGACGGGCCAGGGGCAGCTGAAATCTATCTCTCAGGGATAAACAGAGATTGTGCCTGGTCCCCTTAAAAAGCCTGGAGGTTGTGGGGCGGGGAGCTTGAGATTAGGCCAGTCGGTGTCCCCCTAATTTTATCAGCACACATGAGACCTCATTTTAGGCCTCTCACTGCCAAGATACTCCAAAAAGCCTTTATCAGTGTGCTTTTCGATATGTTCTATATCAAACGCCTATTCTCTTCTGTCCTCGCTAACAGGACTTTTTTTTTTTTAAATGCTTTCCAATCTCATGAGAAAAAAAAAAAATTGTTTATGTTTGGTTTTGTTTGTATGATAACATGAAGCATTTTTGTGATGATTGTAGACTGTGTTTTTCACACTACAAGCTGAAAGTTTATATTCTTTCAGGGTTGACAGATTAAAAAGTAAAAATGCCAATAATTTTCAGATTCAATTTGCAGATAAAATTTCAGATGACCAGTGAACAGCTTTTTAGTGTAAGTGTATCCCAATGGTTGCACACAGATACAGCTTCTCGTCCATGTTGTATGGGGCCACTTGCTTTTAAAAACAAACATGATTTGTAATAAGTCATTAAATTATCTGAATTTCAAACTTCTGACTTTTATATAAAAAACACATTTTCCCCCCATTCTATCACTTAGATTTTTTTTTCTTGTTTAGATTGTGATATCTTTTATCCATAGATAAAAGGTTTTTATGTAGTTGGACTTACTAACGTGCTTGTCTTGACCGTTAGTACAATTAGCTGGGTTTATATTTTGGCGTTCTGGAGAGTGTGACTAAACAGTGTGCAAACATTCTGCCGTTTTATTATCTGTCTTTCTTTTTGTTGTTGTTGTCGTTACTGCTTTTTGTTTGTTTGTTTGTTTGTCTTTGCCACAGGGTGCATGTGCTCACCAGAGAGAGAGAGAGAGAGAAAGAGAGAGAGAGAAAGTGATAAATTACCCTCACCATGGGGGATAGCCACACCACAATCCCTTTTCCTCTGTTCTCTTGGAATTTTGGGCATACTCGCTCATATGCCCAGCGTGTTTCCCAAGTCGCTTGGTCCGGGACTCAAACCATAGAATTGGCCATGCGGGATCCAGCGCTTCAACCTCTACATCACCTGCTGGTCCCAAACATTCCATTTTTTTTTATCATCGCCTTTTCACAATGAACTGTTTTATTCATCTAACATGCAATATTTGCATTACGAAAACTTTATGCAAAAACAGGCCTAGCCAGGGTGTCACTGTGAGACACTGCTCTGTGGCCTGGGACCACATAGGAGACCTGAGTTTGATCCTGGAGTGCTGTAAGGTCCAGGTGTGCACCTGGAATCCCAGCAGCTCAGGGAGGCTTAGGCAAGAGGACTGAGAGCAGAAGGCTGGCCTGGTCTCACACCCTGTCCAGTGAAGGAGCCGGGTGTGCAGTGGGTCAACCTGCAGTCCCAGGTGGGAGATTGAGGCAGGACGGTCACAATGTAGTGAGCCACTGTCTTAACAAACAAACAAAAATAATAAGGTACAGGAAGGAAAGGACTGGTGAAAAATAGTCTGAACTGACATGGTGGATTCGCTAAGCGAAGGAGACCCACGCATGAAGCAGAAGACAGTTCGCGATGAGACTCCCTATCTGTGAACAAGACATTAGGATCATCAGGCCTGCACATTCGGCCTCTCTGGGTAAGAAAGAGCCAAGTCAGGGGGCCTGCACGTCAGACACCATGGGTACATCCGTTTCGTTTCCCAGTGTGAGATCCCTAGGCAAGGTGCCCAGAATTACACAGTGGCCTTGATTTGTGCTTTCTGAGAGTGGATCCTGGGAATCTGCATTTAACAGTCACTTCAAGTCATGGCCGAAGTTTGAGAACTACTGATTTATTGCTTTTATTTTTATTTATTTATTTATTTATTGGAGAGGTTTTTTGCTATAGGGTATGTGCGCTCGCCAGAAAGACAGAGACAGAGACAGAAAGCGAGAAATCGCCCCCAGGAGGATGGCCACGCCTCAATCCCTTCTCCATCCATTCTCCTCTCAGGGTCTTGGGCACGCACGCACACGCACCCGGCTTGAGTTTAAACTGTGGTCGACCACATGGGAGTCCAGCGACATAGCCATTACGCTAACTGCTGGTCCCGATTTATTGCTTTTAGGTTGAGATAAGTTGATGTACGTTGACCTGAAAAGATGATGCGTCTGGAACAAGGATTATACCCCTCCCCCTAGACTAGGCTTGCTTAGTCTCTGAGACCCTCCTTCCCCACACCATCTATCTTTTTTATTTTTGGAGAGGTTTTTGCTATAGGGCGCGTGCGCTCGCCAGACAAGAGAGAGAGAGACAGAAAGTGAGAAATCACCCCCCAGGGGGATGGTCACGCCGCAATCCCTTCTCCTCCATTCTCCTCTCGGGATCTTGGGCACACACGCACACGCGTCCGGCATGAGTTTTAAGCCACCGGGTCCGGGACACGAACTGCGGTCGACTACGTGGGAGTCCAGCGACATAGCCATTACGCTAACTGCTGGTTCCCCTACACCATCTTTCTTTAGGTACTCCCACGGTTTGGGTGTGGTACAGCTGAGTAAGCATCCCCGTCTGTGAAGCCCTTTCCTCCTCTTCATCCTCATCACGGCACTTCTGAGCCGCGATGTGCTCATCTTCTCGTCTGTCTCCCAGAGATAGCCCTCCTGCACTCAGGTCCAGATTCTCTGGGGTTACTCGCTCGCTCTGACCCACTGCTGACAGTGGCAGTGCCGGCGTTCACCTGTGACAGCAGGGTCACCTGACGGCAGCCTACAGTGAGGCAATCCTTACATTCAACCTGTCCTTCATGGATGATTAGAGAGTTCCAGAAACAGCTTTCCAGATCTCACCTCTTTCCTTCTTACGGAACACCCTGTTTCTTAGTCAGGAGCTCCTTGATATGATCTACAACA